TGAAAAAAACAATTTTTTTAACAAACAGCAATTCATCGCTCGCAATTGCATTTCCGAAAGTGACTGTAGCAGGAATGCCGCACGACTGCTTTCTCATTTTGTTTATCTCTGTCCAAAAGGTGGAAGGACAAAAAATTAAAGGAATAAAGTGTCACAACATCCGGCGCTAAGCTGTTCTACACATGACCGACGTAGAAAAATTAGGTAGTTCAATTTGAAACAAGTGTTTGGTGGGAGAATGCCCTGTTGTAGAAAAAAGAAATAAAGCAAAAATGAGCCAAGGTCGTACATCAATTTCTGCCGTACAGAATTTCTCCTAACTTGACAATAGCTGCAGATTTAAAAATAGGCCCACGGTCGAAAATTATCCACCGACACTTATCACCATTCAACTTGACAAGTCATACCAAGTGTGAATGCTAGTTAGTTCGGCTCGAAAGGCATCTAGGCTATTAAAAGAAGAGAGAGATACGACAAAACAAAGATCATCGGCAAAAAGAGAAAACAGGGTAGTAGACTTAAGGCATTCTGCAATGTCATTTATGAATATCAAAAAGAGCAAGGGGCCCAAATTCGATTCTTGCGGAAGGCCGGATGTTAGTAATATCGCGTGGGAAAGGAGATTGTTAATTAACACATGAACCAAACCAGTCGAAAAGTTTCTCATTGACACCTACCTAATTTAATTTTGAGAGCACAAGTTGATGAGGAACTCTATCAAAGACTTTGATAAAATCAAATGCAACTCCAGCGCTTTTTACTTTCTTATCTGCGAAAGACGAAAGGTGGCTGATAAGACAATTGAGTGCATCGAGAGTGGATGAATTGCTGTTTGTTAAAAAAATTGTTTTTTTCAAGATGGAGAACTAGACAATTGAAAACTAATCTCTCAAATATCTTACTAATCTTAGTAGAGATATTGGACGGTAATTCTCAACTTTTAATCTATCCCCTTTCTTAAAAAAGGCTCATAACATCCGGAAATCGCCGTCGCCGCGGATTCGGTGTTAATACTTTGGCGTTAACACTTTAACATATACGAACTCCCGCCGAGTGAGGGTGAGCGTGGTGAAGTGGGTGAAAAAGTGCTCCACTCTCATCCTCAATTATGCACGTTTATACTTTAACACTGTAGCACTTTAACGTATGAGAATCCGCGACGACGGCGATTTCTGGATGATGCAAATCTCATGAATCAAAGGTTGGAAAGAGAGCAATTTTGGCAGCATTTGAGATGGTTTAGAAAGAGTGCCTTCTAAGGTAGAGAATGATTTTGAAAAATTTTTGCTGAGTGCCTCTGCCTTCGCTGTATCATCGCTCGCAATTGCATTTCCGAAAGTGACTGTAGCAGGAATGCCGCACGACTGCTTTCTCATTTTGTTTATCTCTGTCCAAAAGGTGGAAGGATCATTGAATTTGCTAAAAAACATTGTTCTGCTTTGTTTTTCTTTTTTTTCAAAGAGCCTGGTCATTGTACTTTCCCTCTAATAGAGTCTATAAATTTTTTCAATCTGTCTATTTCAGGTTGATTTTGTTGCGGATCAGAGCATTGGATAGCCAAAGCCTTTTCAAAGTTTTCCAGAGCAGCTTCATCATTATTTTGTATAGCGTGTATTAAACCAATGTTTCCGTAATAACTAGGTAGTCCGGAATGATTCGAAGATTTTAATGCACATTCCAGAGCTTTTGTATAATAACTCAATGCCATGTTGTAGTTTTGTCGACGATGGTAAACCATTGCTATGTTATTATACGTTTTCACTAGATCAGGATGTGGAGTGTCATCATCAGCATTTTCAATATAAATATTTATCATCTGTGAGTAACAGTCTAAAACATTATCATAATCATTCATTTTCTTAAATTCTTCTACTCGATTTACAAGGTCAGTTAACTGTGATGTTGACTTCTTCTTTTTCGGTTCCGGACTATCGGTTTCTAATGATAAAGAAGACATAATTGTACGAGTAGGTATATGCGTACTAGGCCCTTCAGCAATCGTTAATCCCTCAAGTTTGGCTTCAATGTCTTGTTGTACATCTTTACGTTTGTGGATTATACGTTTTATTACACAACGTGATTTAGCATTGTTCTTCAATAAAAATTCTTTTAGTTCTGAATGATTATTGAATGTAGCTATATCCAATGGGCTAGGACGTTTTTCATCACCACCATTCACATTAGCGTTGCATTCGGTAATCAGAAATACCGTCATATCCATATCGTTTCGACCTACAGCATAATGTAACGATATATCGCCATGGATGTCCTAGTGGAAAATAAAAAATAGTTCAAATAAATCTAAGAAGACTCTCGCTGTCCTTTCATCTCTTATGAATTTGAATTTTCGATAAGTATCCGGAACTTACCCATCTGTCCGCATCATCCATTTGTATTCCACGTATATATCGTGCACAATTAATTGCTTGTTTGAAACAAGCCAACATGAATGCTGTCATTCCACGATTTTCACAAATTGTCAATGCTTTTCGACACCGCTCGTGAGTACTATTCACTTCACTATCTGGAATTGCTTTGATCGTAGCATGGAACCTGACGGTGAGTGCTTTTAGCATCTCAACATCATCCTTTTCAACAGCATAGTGTGCGGGAGTATAACCATCTCTGTCTCGTGCACATGGATCTGCGTTACGCATCAACAATAAACGAACATACACATATTGAAATAAATGTATAACGACAACATGCAGAAGAGTCTAGAAGATAATCGGAAGATCTAAGACTTACAGATTAGAATCTTCGTTTGAAAATTTTACCTGATTCCGATCATTTCTCATTTGAATAACGCTTTTGTGATCCGTCTCTAATACTTTTTGAAATGAGTCAGTATTACCATGTTCAACGTAGTTAAAGACTTGACTAAACCAAAAAAAGGCTTAATTTTCAATCTTAGAAGTATTTCTCACTCACTTTTTATCAGCCGCCGGTTGTAGGATAGATCCAGTAACACTTGTATCATATCGAAGCGGATCTGTATTATCAATGTCGGTTATAATATTTTTTTCAGGTAGAAAGTTTGGGACTACTTCTGAAACATCTTGAGTATGATCATCTATAGTTGAAGTAACTGATGATCCAGATATCTGGGTGCTATGCTCGTTGAATTTCGCTATGACTTCTTGCTCAGTTCTCTCTGGTATACTCGTAACGGACTGTTGTCTATCATCTGTATATATGGATGATATTGAAGAGGATAATGATCCGGGATTGAAAGATGTCGTTCTGGACGTGGTAACTGAACTTGCAAACACAGGTTGTGTTTTTATTGATATTGCATCAGTCTCAAGACCTAGGCCTGGCGCATTGGTGGAAGTGGATGCGTTCATGTTTGAGTTTTGTGAGATTTGTTCATTAAAATCTTCTGCTTTATACCTAAAAGTGGAAAACTACTTAGGGCTGACCAAAAGTTTGTAGAACGATGTTTAAATTTTTATAAAATACTTAACATCGAAAGATTTATTGCATGAATACTTAGTAAAATGTCTCGTCTATAATTCTAACAGTCTTTAAGATAGAGCTTATAATGCAATAAACACGTGAACGTTCCTTGTTTAGGATTCGAATATATTTAGGATTTACCAAAGGTTTTCAAACCATCAAATAGAAATATATAAAGAAAGATCTATGTTTAGCTTTATTTTATTAAATGTTCAAAATAGTCACCATTATTATTTATACAAAGTTCCATTCTTTCTATTAGTTTGTCAAAAGTTTTTTAAACTCTCTTTCTGGAATATTGTTCACTATCTCGCAAACCGCCCGAGCTAGTGATTCTTCGTTTTCGCGGTCAGCCAAGTTAATCTTTCATGTAATCGTTCGAGCTTTACAATTTTTTAAACAACGCGTGCTTTTAGAGAGCTTCTTACCTGTTGCGAAGCAAACATAAAATGAATTATCGCAACAGTAAAGTAGAGAAAGACAAAAATTTGAGTATGATCATTGTTAACGTTGTCTCGGGACAGTACACGCGATAAGTGGAAAGAAAAAGAGAAAGGACAAATTTCTTTTTGGTGGGATAAAACACCTATGCACAATTATGGAACAATTTACGCTGAAGGTGAAGGCATGAGCGTTTTCGCCACAGAAAATATCCATTATAAGTTTCTTATTAACGAGTGCGATGGAATAAATATCCCTTTCAGTATTTGTCGAATATATGAGTGAAACGTACAATCTATGTTCGGGAAGAAGCGAAAGAACTTTACTGTGAAGTTTTTCTACTTATGTCAGCCGATTGTAGGATTGTAGTAGTCGTAATAATAACAGAGAATTTATTTCCTTTTTCTCAGGAAACATGCCGCTAATGTCAATACAGTAAAAAGCACCCAGTTTATTGAGATGTAGCACAAATTAAACGAACCTGGAAAAAGCTTTCTCCTATACCAGACAATAAATCTCAGTGGGTTCTATGAAGCAGTGCATGTTTCGATACGTTTCAGTTGAACTTTCACTCTTTTTAAGGTTACCTTTAGAAATAATAGACAACTCCTTACATCAATGGGTAGAAGAAAAGCCTTAGACATCTACCGGTAAAATTCGGCGCTAATATAGGGAAACAAAGGACAACATTGCGTGAGACGAAACCAACACGAAAACATCCAGCATTTGCACGTGAAAATGTTTCGATATGTTTCAATGAACTTTCACTCTCTTTAATGTCAACTTTAAATAAAATGGACAATTCTTTAGATCAATCGGTAGAAAAAGAGCCCTAGATACAATCGAAGATAAAATCTTACGTAGAAGTACCATTGAAGTACAGGAATCCAGAAGTACACTATTTTCCTCTGGCAAATCACACACGAAAAACCTATCGTTGAAATCTTATATAATGTTTTGAAAAAACGTAAATCGATAATTCCACTTACAATAACATTTTGAACAGAAAGTGGGTCACGAAAAATGAACATAGCTGTTCTCCTTTGAACAATTTTCAACCATAGGCCATAAGTGTATTTCAAAGATCTTGAACATCAGATGAAGGAGATTCTACTTTACTTTCACATACTGACTTTTGTCTAGTTTCCGTTCTTAGAACTAAAACTCGTCCAATTTGACTTCAAAATAACTTTATCTAAATCAATTTAACACTTCTTCGAGTGGTATAATAGAAGAAACGTTGAAAAAATCAGTACAATTATGATTAGAAGGTGGCGAACCCATTACATCTTAACATAAATTGACTGAGGATATAGGACAGCACAATAATACATCTATAGAAACGATACACGGCGATAACATAAAAAAGAGAAAGTAATGACAACTATAGGATTAAAAGAAAAAGAGACTAACCGATGAACAAAGGGGAGAAAAGAATATCATAAGATTAGAATCTTTGTGTGTCGCGAATATAGAAAGTTTCGCTCCACTAGCATTTTTCTCTTTAAACTAATAAATCACAAAAATAAGGACATGTACTGCCGTACAATTTTGAAGCTTATTGTATTCTGATGATATTGCATTGTACAATCAGAGTCTTATGATATACCATAATTAATATATTCTTGTGTTAAAGAAATTAAATCATTTTGCACACTGTACACATAAAAAGAACTGCCGTAAAACTCCGATGATAAGAGTGTGAATTGTGAATGTGCCACCTGCAAACCACAAGCTTTTCTTTTCTTGTTAAACTAAATAAATATTACATTATGTTAGCCAAAAGATGAAAAGAATTTCAACAGAAATTGTGTTGGAAGTACAGTTTGAATATTGTTAATGATACCTATTTATATTTTGTATTGACTTATGCTGCTATGTATATTATTCTTATTGTTTATATCATTTCACAATTACTCGTAAAGCACAGAACAGAGAAGAGGAAAAAAAATATTATACATCATTCGTCATTCTGTTTCTATGTTGAATCAATAGTATATTTGATTTTCTTTCACATTCCACTCGAAAACAACGATTTTATTGAAGCTTTATAAAAGTAAAAATGTGTAAAAATGATTCGGTCATGCCAGTACATTTGAATGAATCATCGACTCTTCCGCGAACAGGATCCCGACTCTTTCGCAAATAGCTAATAATGTGTTCTTTTCGCTTTTTCTGTACTTCTTCTTTGAGTACAAGAAAAACTAATATCTAATTCATAATCACTAATAAAAACTGGATCGAAATTATTATTAAGTAATTTCATATTCCATAGCGGGGTTTACTAATAGGGTTTTACTGGACATAGACGCTAAAACACTTTTAAAGCAGCTTTAACCTAAAATACTGACATACCAGATAAGAACCTCAAAAAAAGGGAAACACTATATGAAGAAAATATCTTTTATGTGAAACTATTTTTCGAACTCACTCTCACACTGCCTTCCCTCCTCCCCACCGCCAGAAAT